ACAAAAAAATATTAAAAATTTAAATAATTCTCCCTCCCTCTTATTAGGTGTAAAAAAAAAAAAATGGCGCATCCTGGTGACATTGATCCTGACTCTCCTGGTGGTCTGAAAAAAAAAATCAAAAGATATTCTTAATGACTAAGGCTGCTGTTATAGTCCCTATTTCAGGGAACACGAAAAAACAATTTTTTTGAAAAATGGCGACTGCCTGAAACTAAAAATCATTTTTTACGCTTTTTTTTTTTTGAAATTCCTGAATTTTTTTAAAATGTTACAAGTAAAGGATTAAGGACTATATAAAGATAAAGGATAAAGGATTATATAAAGAAGGTTCACACAAAATTTGAAGTAAATCGGTGGTATAGAACTTGAGATAATCCCGGTACCGTATGGAAAAAAGTAGTTTCGAGAAGAGAAAAACGCGTTTAAAAAAGTGAGTCTACCTACCTAACGTGCTAGGTACTGCGTCACTAAAGCAACTGTAGCTCTTAAAATAATATTAACTTTTAAAAATCCTTCGGAGGATATGTTTTTAAGGGTCTAAACTTTAAATATATGGAAAAAATTGAATTTTTCAAATTTCTAGAGTAGAATACCCCTTTAATCTACACTAATATTATAAAGAGGAAAKATTTGTACCTATTTTTGTATGTTTTTATGTTTGTAATGAATAGGCTCAAAAAGTACTGGGCCGACTTAAAAAGTTTCTTCCAATTTGAYATAGGCTACATTTCATTTTGAAAAAAATTAGGGATCCTTGGTAAAATTTTAACAATGTAACCGATGGTGTAGAAAAATGAGTCTTAAAATGTCTTTCATCGAATGCGCTGCCGAAACTGTTAGCGATAGAAAAAAATAATGTACAACAATATTGAAGAACATCATAATGTCTACAAAAAACTCCGCGGTAGCATATGTCCAACTATTGTAGTTATGTCACTATAACAACTTTTTTCAGTTTAAACATTAAWGAAAATGCTAACCAAATTCAAGCCATGCTATTTATGTGTTTATATTAATCCTTATCCAAATAAATTTTTTTATGGTCAAGACCATTTAACTACCCATAAAATAGTTTTTATTTAAAATAAATTAATATTTCAAATAAATTATATTTATTTCGACTTTTAAAAAGTGAAGAAGAAAATTGATGACCTTCATCTCCTATGCATATTCGCATNAAATAAATTAATATTTCAAATAAATTATATTTATTTCGACTTTTAAAAAGTGAAGAAGAAAATTGATGACCTTCATCTCCTATGCATATTCGCATTATTTCGTTAACATTTCCATATTTGTACCAATAGAATTTCTATGACACATGCATATGTACATATATTATTTCTTTGGCACATTTGTCTGTATGTTTACGAAAGCAAATGCGAGCCATATACATATGTACATACATTCACAATAACAAGTGTCGCACGCCTCTTTCGCATCTCCGCTGTCACGGTCAACCAATGGCCGAAACTTGCGTTTTGTCAAAGAGTCAAGTGCTGAACACATTGAGCACGACAGACTGCAACCGACATCTGTCAAATATTAAAATACACACACTCTTAGGGACACAGTTATGTAGTTGTGCAGCTGCCTCAATACCTGTGTCCCTAAGAGTGTGTGTTTTCTAATATCCGTCGCGCTCAGTGGTTCAGCACTTGCGTGATGATAGAAAATCCAAGCTGTACCGAAAAAAATAAGCGAATGGCCGCCTATTGGCCTATTGACCGCTTCCCTTGCCGCTGTATCAGCTTCGCCTACAAACTAGCGTAAATATGTATGCATATGTATAAGCTTGCATACAAATCGACGCAGATTTTTGCGAGTCATGGAAAAATATTTTAGAATGGACAAATATTATAAATCGACAACTCCGTTGTTGCCACTTTTCTAACTTCTTTCTTTGAAGAAGCATCAGAAAGTTGTTCAATTTATGATTTTTAGCTTTTGAAATCGTCGCGAAAAGCCGCTTGTAAGCAAAGGCATGCTCGGTGAGATGTTGTGGCGTCTGTTTTTATGAATGAAGCGAGATCGCTTGTAGAATTTGCGCCTGCGTTTATGAATGAAATCGTTTTCAAAATTTACTACATTTGGGCTTCGCCAATTCGGCTGCCAAATGGACTTTTGATGCTTCTGCTATTTTAGCAATTGTTGTTTTTGTAGAACAATGCTTCAATTTTTTGTTCGTGACATATTCACATATGTACGCATATGTACAGCTGCGAGCAGTGAAATAGTAGAGTGTSTTAGAGCTTTACATATCTGTGAGTTATGTAAAATGTCAAGCAATTTTAACATCCATTGAAATGCAAAAGTATGCATATGTTCCAGGCTATGTTCATTACTAAAAATATTTAGATTTGAATATGTATAAGATATCTTTATTTACAAAGATGTGTTTATGTATGAAACTTGTTGGGAGCAGTAAAATAGTAGTAAAGCACTAAAAATCAAAAAAGAAGTACTGAAAGATTTTTGCAAATTTTTTCTATAGGAGATCTTAGCACTTGGTAGCATGATCATGATTTTGATAACTGCACTTCATCGCTTCTTCAGAGAATCAACGAGACTGTGGCATATTTCCGGTGGTATGCTCTGCCATGATTGCTCCACTACGGTCCACAACTCGTTGTTGTATTTGGGTTTATCCTTCCACACGGCTTTCTTGACGTCTGCCCAACGGCTTTCAATAGGATAGAGGTCAAGCGATTGAGCTGACCTATCCATGACATCAATTCCATTGACCCAAAACCACTACTTTGCCACCCTACTGGTATGCTTCGGGTCATTATTCTGCTGAAATATCCTTTTCAGCGGGATGTCCTCTTCAGCAAATGGTATCATAATATACCACATTATATCCACGAATTTGTGTAGTTATGCTAGTAATCTTGTGAATTGGGACTGCACAAAAAAATTGGTCCTGTAAGAAAACCCACCAAACCATGAAATTCAAACCGCTTCATAGATTTTATGCTGAATCTGGGGTCGTACTCTCTATTAGGGGAGCGTCTTAGATACTGACGGGACCCTTTACCGCCGTATAGAATAACTTTCGACACGTCTGTCCACAAGATGTTGCGCCATTTCTCAATCGGCAAATTCTCAATC